GGTTCGTGCCCTTAACTAGAACCAAACCCGGGACCCTTCAGTCTGAGCCAAACCAGCCAGGCACACAGCTGAAAGGTGAGCTCTGCCTCGTCGAGCCTCCTTGGCTCCAGGCCTAGGGCTTGGGATGCTGTGCTTCCTGCGATGACCCTTCGCCTCCCTCCTTTCTTCCCAGCTCCCTGGAGCCGGCAATCGCTTCTACGCTGCAGGCTGATGGGATTTCTCAGTGTTGCCAAATACACCGAGTGAAATCTACTCCTAAAATTTCCAGCCCCATCTCTCACCTTCCCTTCCCATTCCCATTCCCGCCAGGCCCAGGACCCTAGCGCCAAGCTTTCCTCCATCCTAACTCTAGGGACTCCACGGTCTCACACAGCGATGTGGCTGGGACGCAGCTGCTTGGCCACAGCTGTCTGATTCCGATTTTGTGGGGCCCGTCTTCTGAGTTCTGGGTGAGCAGAGAATCAGAGGCTGAGGAGCTGGGGCCTTGGGAAGGGCCTGCCTCGCCTTTGTTTGTCGTTCTTGTTGAAGGGTTGGGTCTTCTTTTGCTCTGGGAATGATATTGGGTCAGTTGAATTATCTTTCTGCCTCAGTTTCCCTGTATGTGGTGCAGATGTTAACACTCTTCACATTGACTTTTTCTCTGGTCTTAAGGCAAAGGTTAAAATCTCAAGTAGTGAACATGTCTAAATCCATAGATCCTGGATTTTCCAGGACAAACTCAATTTCAAACACTTTGTCCCAAGGGTCAGATCCTGTGTCCGACCCTCTATTCTGATTTGAGATCAGAAAATATGGTGTTTGAGAATTTGCGAATTCTTCATTTCAGAAAAGGGCTGGGATCCTATTTACTAATATGCGAATGAAAAAGCATTCTGATTATGGGTTCTGGACCAGAACCCGCCACCTGAACGACAGAACGTGTCATTCTGCCCAGCAGGGCCTCCCGGGGAGACTCGCCCACCTGGGCACTGGGCGGGGAAGGGCCTACTCACCCCCACAGAGCACCCACAGCACAGGCCGCGTCGTCCCCGCCATGTCCTGCTGCCTCGTCGCCTCAAGCCCAGCCGGGAACCGGCAGCACCCAGGCAGGTGTGGGCTGACTCCTGAGAGCTGGCCCCGAGGTGCTCTGAGGGCTCCTCTTCCTGGTCCCCCAGCTCAGCCTGGACCGCACACCCCGCCCCTCACCTGACTGGCAGGCAAGCTCACCTGTGGGGCTGGACTTGTGCTCCACCTCCTCCACCAAAGGCGCCAACGGGAACCCGCCCGCCTTCTCCTTGAACTCTCTTCCTGCTTTTTCACCTCTTGACAGGTGTACAAAGTCCTGGGCTTCTCCTATGATGGACAGGAAATTGCCACCTCGTCATAAAAAGGGAAATGATCTCAGAGGAGAGTCTGAAGCCAATTAAGAAGGGCGTTGCCCACAGTCTGCACCACCCCAAGGCACAACATGACCCTGTCACTCCCTCCCCATCCACAGGCCCAGCCCACACTAGACACGTCATGAGGAGATGGGAAGTCTGTCCCCTCAGAGAGCGGACCGCCTGGTGGAGGAGGTAGACAGGATGCAAGTAATCAGAGAACACACCTCGGAACCATGGCCACCTGGTCTCAGGTGCGGGAACTGTCCCGGGTCCCCTGGCCCTGGAACCCCTCAGTCCCAAGCAAGCTGGGAGGGCAGGTCATTGCTTCAAGAGTAAGAGTCCTGCAGGGCATGGCCTCGGGGTGGCATAGGACAGGAAATGGGCAGGGGAGGGGCTCCTCTTTAGATGGGTGGTCAGAGCTGAACGGGGAGGCGGGCCTTGTGATTTTCTGAATTACAAACGCTGAGCATCTCAGAGAGCTTAAAGGGGTCTCCGCGGGCAGGAGCTGGTGTGTGGTTTCCTGGTCTCTGGTCCACTTCAGGGGTTCAGTGTCACCCCTGCAGGTTCAGGTGCTGGCCAAGGGCACAGAGAAGACCAAGGCCCTCAGTCCTCTCCTTCTGAGCGGTCCCCTCTTTGTCTGTCCCCTCTACACCATCCGCTCTCCCCCGCCCCCCGTTATAACTGTGAGCCTGGCCCACCTGATGCCACCCTGCAGTCCCTCCCTGCCCCTTCCTGCCCTGTTCCTGCTGTGAATAAAAATAATATCAACGGAACCACTTTAAATGGCCCTGGAGCTGCCGTCCCAGAGGAACCGCTGTGCACATCCTATGCCTCGAATATTTAGAATATTAAAGCAGGGCAAAATAACCTTTGCACTGGGCCTAGGGCAACCTTGTGTCCCAAAGAACTGTTTGCAAAGATAACAAGGAGGCGGCTATTGTGACTACGGGACTGAAATTTAAGGCATGTTTAGAATTAGCATCACCATGTCATGTTACCTGCGCCCATAACAACGCCTTCTTCTATTGATGTCACTGTCAACCTGACCTTTCTCATAACACCCGTCCCCTCTGGCTCCTCCTCGGAACACTGTTTGGGCTTCTGCCTGAACCCGCGCTTCCCGGATCGCTATTCGTGTTGATCTCAAATAAATGCTTGTTGCCTCTCACTCTGAGATGTCTTTTTATTTTTGAGTTAACATACCCTTGCTTCACTTAGTAATTCACCTTAGGAAGATTCCCTAGGGCAGTGGTCGGCAAACCGTGGCTCGAGAGCCACAGGTGGCTCTTTGGACCCTTGAGTGTGGCTCTTCCACAAAATACCACGTGCGAAGTTGACTTAAAACTTTAAGTAAAGTTTATTAAGTTAATTTTAGGGAACGTGTGGAGTGAAAGAAGATGTAGTGTCGAGGATTGAGAAAGGTATGTTGAGATGGTTTGGACATATAGAGAGGATGAACGAAAGGAGATAGACGAAACAAGTATACAAGACGAGTGTGGATGGGAGAGTTGGAAGGGGTCAACCTCAGCGAATGTACCTCAATCAGATTGAGGACGTTTTTAGCAAAGGCCAGCTTAGGAGTACC